GACATGGGGGGAAATGGGGACATGGGGGGACACTGGGGGACATGGGGGGAAATGGGGACATGGGGGGACACTGGGGGACATGGGGACATGGGGGCATTGGGGACATGGGGGGACACTGGGGGACATGGGGGGAAACGGGAAAAGGGGGGAAAGGGGGGCAGGGGGGGGAAATGGGGACATAGTGACATGGGGAGACATGGAGGGACATGGAGGGACAGGTCAGGGGATGTTGGGGACATCGGGGGCATGGGGGGGACATGGAAGGACATCGGGATATGGGGGACATGGCGGGGACAAGGAGGGATTGAGGGGACACGAGGACACGGGGGGACACAGGTGACACACAGGTGACATGCAGCTGACATGGGTGTCCCACGGGTCACACGGGTGCCTCACAGTTGACATGTAGGTGCCACACAGGTGGCACGCAGGTGACACGCTGGTAACACAGGTGCCACACAGGTGCCACAGGTGTCACACAAGTGGTACACAGGTGACACAGGTGTCCTGTGGGTGCCACACAGGCGCCTCACAGGTGACACAGGTGACACACAGTTGCCACACAGGTGCCCTCGTGTCCCGCGGGTCCCTCCTGTCTCCTCTCCTGTCACTCCGGAGCCTCCCAGGGCAGCTGCAGCTGCAGCTGCTGCAGCTCCTCTGCCAGCCTGGGGGGCGGGGCCAGATGTGGGCGTGGTCCCAGGAGGCCCAGGTGTCAGGGTCACACCTGTCCCAGGTGGGGTCACGCACCTGTCCCAGGTGGGGTCACGCACCTGTCCCGTCGCTGCAGCTCCTGATCCCGTAGGCCCAGCTGCAACTCCAGCTGCTGCCGGGCCTCCTCCTGCTCCTGCTCCACCAATCGCCTGCAGGGGTGGGGGACAGGTGGGGGCCAGGTGTGGGGCAGGGCAGGTGTGGGGCAGGGCAGGTGTGTGGGCGGGGCCAGGTGTGTGGGTGGGGCTGGGCACTCACGTGACCATGGGGGCCTCTGGGCCCACCTGCTCCTCGATCTCCATCAGGCACCGCTCTGGGGGGGGGGGGAGGGGGGGGGGGGTCAGCCCGGGGGGTCTGGGGGGCTCAGGAGTCCGGGGGGTCACTCAGGTGTTGGGGTCTCACCCAGGCTCAGCAGCTTCTCCCGTGTGCTCTCCAGTCGCACCAGTTCAGCCTCCAGGTGGGCCGGGGCCTGTGGGGGGGGCACAGGTGTGTGTGTGGCCCCCCAGGTGTGGGAGGGGACACCCCAGGTGTGTGTGTGGCCCCCCAGGTGTGTGTGTGGCCCCCCAAGTGTGGGAGGGGACACCCCAGGTGTGGGAGGGGACACCCCAGGTGTGGGAGGGGACACCCCAGGGGTGGGAGGGGACACCCCAGGCCTCACGTGCGTGTCGCGCAGGCGCTTGTGCTCGTCTATGATGGCATCGAGCTGCTGCCAGAACTCCCGCCTGAGGGTTGGGACACACAGGG